GCTAGGATGTTATCTGGGGAAAGCAAGACCCCTCCTGTTGTTGATATAAACCTATCAGGAGCGAACTGGAAAACAGAAGAGAGGAATGTATCTGCTTATGTATTTGAAGTGGCTGCTGATACAGAGTGGGAAACAAAGCCATCTTGAGTGTCAGCTAATCTCCACTGGACCGTGTTTTGTCAGCTGGATGCTGGTTTGGCAAACACTTGGATCTGCGACATGGCATGTATTCATGTGAGCGGTGCCACTGAACGCAGCAACGCTTCTCACGTGCGGATGCTTTAGAGGGATGGAGAGCCTAATCCAAGGGATTTTGTCAGGGTTAAATAAGGACTTTCCCTGAGCCCAGTGTTAGGTGCCTACCTTAGTGGGCAAGGGGGTTCTTCTTACCTTTAGTCCTCGCTGATTTGAGAGGGCTGTTGGTTTACTTGCTCCTTTTGGTTTTGTGAAAGGGCTCTTTCTCTCTAAATATACATTATAACTTCCCTTTGCTTTGCTGGGACTGGTGGCCCACAGAAGCCTGCAGGGCCTTGTTTCTGCTGCAAAATGAAAGATTCTTTTGTCATGCAGAATCGGAGTTAAAACTCCAAACACAGATCATTTACAACCATATAGCTAAGAAAGAAACTGCTCTCAATAGCACACAGCAACACTGTCAGCCCCTGTAAATAATCCCCTACACCCTTCAGCACTCTTACCAAATAAGTCTGCCTGAATGAGTTGGGATGCTGTGCTTTATGGATGCCACTGCCCATTCTACAGCCTGGACGTTTTTTAAAAAACCCAGAAACCTTCTGATATAATACTGCCATTTAAGAGAAATCAGAACTGAAAAGCAGCTGTCAAACTTTAATTTCCTGGCTAATGAATGGCCACGATTCCATTCTTCAATGATTCTTGACCCTAGAAACAAAATGTATTAGCACTCTCAGATTTTGCACAGTAGTGCTAAATGGGGCATGTAATGTACTAATTTAGTGCCTCTTTAGCATAATCACAACCTACGTGCACAGCTACATTTCCTTGGCAGGCAGCTTTCCTAAGACCTGCAAAGAACTTACGTAGGACATTTCACCCTATTATTCATTTCACTGATGCTTGGGAATCAATATATGTGATTTTTTTCCCCTGTCTTGTCCTCCACAAAAAAGCATGAAATCATCCATTGATCTTCCTGGGGTGATTAAAATGCCAAGAATTCTGTGCTTTTCTCTGCCTGCAGTGGGGAGCTGTGTTTTTGCTCTGTGTCCAACCTTTGAGTCTAAAAGCTTACAAAATGGTTGAGTTGGTGTATAAATAGTACTTTCCAGAAGAAACACAGGGTCTGTGGGAGCCAAAGCTGCCATTTAGCTCAGTGCTTGGAACAAGTCATGTATGATCAGTGTTCCTGGTAAGCACCTGTGACTCTGTGGCGTGCCTCGTTCAACAGCTGCTTCCAATTGTTTGTGATATTTTTATTTTCTATTGTTTCTCATTGTCACCTTTACCCACAGAACGCAGGATGGCTGAGGTCAGGGACATTTCTGCAGGTTTTCAGTTCCAACTCTCTGCCCGAAGCTGTGTCAGGCAGGGCACGTTGCCATTTGGTTTTGAGTACCTATAAAACAGAGATTCTTTGGGCAACTTGTTCTGCTGTCTGGGCACACTCTCAATTAATTAATTAATAAGTAAAAGCAAAGCCACCACATTTTCTTGTGTTTAAGCGCAAGCTGTGTTTCAGTTTGTACAAGTGCCTCTTGTACTTTCTCTGGGCAAATTTGAGTCTTCCTTTGCACTGTTCTAGCAAGGTTTTGCTCTGCTCTGTCATCTTCCCTTTATAAATTAGTGCAAATGAGGGGACGTTTACAATGCACTTTCAGAGGACTGCGATCCAGATGGAGATACAGAGAGATCCTGAATACGTTACTGCAATGCCACCCCAGGATCTCTGTGGCGGTTTGCCTGCTCCTGCCTGGTTTACACAGGCGTACGGGGGATGTCTGCCCTGATTCTGTTACAGAGGCAGGCTCTCCACTTCCACAATGCAATTCAGCTACTTTTTTTTTACTGCTTCAGCATTTACTGGGTCTAAATGGTACTGCAGCCTGTGTGAGGAGTTCTGCCTATCTGTGTGATGTCCGGTGAGCAGAGAGCTGTGTGTGCCATGCTCCTGCTTGGGATCTGTCACGGAATCAATCCCTTTATGCATGTGCAGCTCAGACAGAACTGCACACAGCACTGTGGGGGCTCAACACAACCTGACTGGGACAAGGCATCTCCCCAGCAGACCTGCCTTGTGCTGGAAACAGGCTGTCTTTGTGGTTACAGGAGGAGGTGTGAAGCTCCGCACCTCTTTCTGCTCTTTGAACGTCTCAGCGCTGCTGGAGGTGCTCAGCCAATTAGTGCAGCCAGTCCCTTTCTACGTGTTTTTATTTCCATGTATAGGCTGCACTATAGAGAGAAAAAGCTGGAGACGTGCCAGTCTTTCCAGAAATTCAGGAAGAGGAAATGGGATTGTTAACTGAAATGGACTGCGCTGGTGATGCAGTTCCTTGGGCAGGCAATGTGTGCCGCAGCACTGTTGCCCCAGCAGATCAGGTTTGCTGCAGCTCCTGCAGGACTGGGGTGTGCCACAACAGCTGGCACTGTAAATGTGGGACGCAGGCCTGCTTGCTTATCCAGGTGAGAACCTGGGGAACAGGCCAGGTTCTGTTATGTGTTACCCTGCATTTGTGTGTGTGACTGAGACCTGCTGCAGCAACACAGTTTAAGCGTTTCATTTGTGCTCAGGGCTCTGCACTGTGGAGCATCTGATTGATGTAGCAATTTTTCTTTCATCTCCGGTAATAATTAGCTTTAATACTTAATTACAGCCACATTTTAGACTATAAGGATGTTCTTTGTGATAGGTGCTAAATAAGTTACTATTAAAATAGTAATTAACTACAAAAAAAAAAAAATTTCCTTAGAATTGCCATGTGACATGCACACAACTTGCTGCTGCTCCTTACTGTGGAGACAGAAACCTGCCACTTCCTACTGATGTCTGTTCTGCTCTGAATAGAGTCAAATCTGTCTGCTCAGTTCAGAACCTGTTTTTCACGTGTTACTTTTGAAGATGGTTATCTTAAAATGCTATATTATCACATCTACAGGCCTTAAAATGTGGCTGAGCCTGAGGACTCTTCGAGACAGCAGGTGTCTGTTCAGCAGGGTTGTTGGGTCGCTGTGAGTAGGGAACCCAGCTTCTCTGCAAACCTGGGAATGGGGCGGGAGGCACAAAGCCTTGTGTGTGAGTGATGCCCAGGCCTTGCTGTTGTTTGGAGGCTGGCATGAGGCGTGCTGTCCCTTGAGAGGATGGGGAGGAGGCAGTGCTGTCAGATGTGTCTTTGGGGTCACAGGTTGCCGGGTCTAAAACCATGGGTCTCAGGACGATAAGAAAGTCACAGACTATGCATTTAAGGTCAGGTTTTCTAGGTATACTCTTCCTCTTGTAGCTCTGTGTTGGATGTTTCAGTACCTTTGATGAAAACTTCTGCTCTTTTAGTAGCTGACTTAAACTTGGCCCCACCACCCTAACTCAAACTTTATTTGCCTGCCAATATTCTCTTTACGGCAGCTAACCCAGCTGACAGTTAATGAATCTAACTCTTGCCAGAAGTGAAAAAGTGCACTGAGGTGTGGTGGACCAGGAAGGCATGTTGAATTCTCAGCCATTAGTGCAGCAAAATGCTGCCTGTGCCAATGGCTGCAGGGTGAAGGTGGGAGCAGAGTTAGAGCAGTGCCAGGGCTGTGGGTGAGGTTTCCTGCTAGTAGCACTGACAGCAGTTATTCCTTATGAGCCTGGGCACAATCCAGGGCAGTGCTCAGAGCAGCCAGGCGCTGGTGCTGGAAGACGGGAGTGCTCTGCTCTATGGAAAAACGATGTGTGAATGGCAGCCGAGCCGGGCAGCAGAGGCTGAACGTTTTTCTCGGTAGAGATTACTCGGTGCCACCCACCTCATCAGAGCTCACCCACAGCAATGCTGCTTCTCCTTTTTCAAAGAAAACGTGGGTTGTTTTGCACGTGTTGCACGTAGTTAGCAAACCTGGTCGTGGTTTGCAGAGGCTGTTTCAGCTGCCCAGCACCTGCAAGCCGCAGGGGTGCTCTGCACCCAACCCTGGGTGGCATATCCCACTCGTGCTCTCGGCAGCTCCGTTATTTCTTTGCGACAACAGAGGGCACCAGCGGCCCTTGCTTAGTGCAGGGTTCTGCCCTCCCGAGCTCCCCGGGACGTGCAGGGCAGCTCCTACGCCTTCGGACTCGTGGGAGAAAGCTGCCCTAACACCATGCACATCCTGCTCCTCAGGTCTGGGAAGATGCGTGCAGTGAAGCCGGTGGTTTGTTCCCACTGGGCCAGCGTGGGTGTTTGTGAGAATGTGCAAGTCTGCAAAGAGCAGTGCTTTGGATACAGCTGGCAAAGGTACAGCACTGTGAGTGGCTGGGAGCAGGGAGGGCTTGCACGCAGGAGAGCACTGCTGGGCATGTTTTATTCTTCCAGTGGTCATTCTGCATCTCCAGCTCAGCGGGGTTCAATCCTGCTGCCTGCACCCAAGCAGAAGCTACTAAAATGTCAGGAATCAGTTAGTCTGCAATTAAACAGTTTGGATCTGAGGCTAGGTCTGAATCTGTCCTGCATTACATCCGTTTGACCTCACTGACAGCTGTACAGCACGTGACAGTTGCCTGCAGGGACGACCCTGAGCTAGCTCCAAGCTACTCCCTGCCAGATTTCCCACCAGAGCAGGGAGGAGCGCAGTGCAGACTGGCTGTTTGAGCCTGAGATCCCCAGCAAACCTGTCAGCCCTCAGAGCTGATAGGCAGTCCACCTAGAGGTAATCCCAGCAAAGTGCCCCCAAGGGTGATCCAGGTATGTTCGTTCCCCATACAGTAGGAATGGGTCTGCTTCCAGTCTGCTCTGCCACTGATGTGGAAATCCTCTCTCCTCCCACTTACCCCCTTATGTTTATCACTTCTGCAGGTGCATGCTGGTGTAGGCTGCCTGTGGAGAGATGCAGAGACATTCAACTGTTATTTGTTATTCTCCTGAAGCACAGCGAAGCAGGTAAGCAGCAGGCACTGTTATTTAGGAGACACATCCTGACAATGTCAGGTCACAGAGCTGTACATGTGAACCATAACCTAGAGTCCATACTGGGGCCCCATCCTATTCGGTCCTGCAAATTTGATATATCTTACTTTTTGCAGAAGGACCATTTGCATACCAGAAGGTTTACTCACATGAGCATGGGATGTTGGATGGTCTTTTTATCCGCAGCCTAGAAAAACGAAGGTCCCAAGCTTCTTCTACTGCCAGGGGACATGTGAAAGCTTTGAGCACGTGCTACAGAGATAAGTAGAGACATATGCCTTATGCCAGGCCAAGATGTTTTTATAAAGAGCTTCTGGCCACGTCTGGTAAAACATTTAATAACTTTTCTGCCAGCAGCCAAAAGGCAGTCATATATTTAAAAGCAGCAATAAAAGTTCCTATGTGAGTCAGAGTCCTACAGAAATCCTGCTAGTGAATTTCCCCATGGTAGCCTGCAGGACTAGCTGGAAAAAAATACCACAGAATTCTACTGGTATTAAGTATTTTTTAACAAGTCCTTGGAAGTGGCATGGAATGTCTCTGCAAAGCCCCTGAAACCAGATTCCAGGCTGTGTGCAGCCTAAACAGCAATGCTGGTACTTTTTACTATAGCCACAAATCCTATTTCACTCCCAAGGGATCACAGAGAGGCTAGTTTCAGTGTGACCTTTAAGTGGCATCTCACTGGCTTATAGTAGACTGTGCATTAGTGCATATTCCTTTAACCTGCAATCCAGTGTGCTCAAATGTCCCTGCTGCAGATGGAACAAAGTGCTGCCCTGACATGTGCGTGGCCTGGCCTCAACTCTCCCTTCTCCTTTCCTGCTGAGCTCTGCTCTTGTAGTGCTAATGAAGTACATCTTCTTTTCCTTTCAAAGTCCTCAGGTGATCCCTTTCCGCATTGAGACCCTGGGCTTTTTTGGAAATGAATCTCATTAAGATCCAAGGCCATGAAAGCTTCTCTGCTAATTCTTCCTGCTGCTAAAGCCTTGTCAATAGCCAGCATGCCCTGGTTTGGCTCTGCTGCAGGCAGCGGTGCTGGAGGCCCAGCGCTGAGCAGGCACTGGTATCTCAGAGCAGCTCCCTCTGACTCCTGGCACACGAGGTCAGGGATGCAGGCACTTGCCCTCCTGCTGCTTTCCTGCTTATGCAGGAGTGATGCTAAGAGAGGGGGAGGAGGGATGATGCACATGTGCTTTGGTACTCCTCCATCACTGTGCTGAAGTAGCAAGTTGCTCTCTGATCGTATTTTGCAAGTTGCTTCCACACAGCCGTGCAGGTCTGGTTTAGATGCCGATCTTTGCAGCCTGTGGAACTGATCTGGGAGCGCTGCTTGGCCAGAATTCCCCACTCACCACCCCAGGAATTTGGCCTCCCTTTCCTGTGACCACGTCCCAGGCAAAGATTCTACATGGTGCTCCTGCAATGTGCCTGCTTGGTGAACAACCGTCCTGAAGGTGTCTGACCTCTGTGCAGCCGTGCCCTTGGCTGCCTGCTCTGAGCACACAGGAAAGAGACAGTGACGCGCTATCTGGTTACCAGCCTCAGCCATCACCTTTCCTCCTCCGGGCGCAGGATCTCCCTCCTGAGTGTCAGGAGAGACTCATCCAGGAGAGCGTTTGACAGGGCAAACTTAATACCAGCCTGTTATGACTTGTTGCAGATTTGGGTAACACATGGAACAAACACTCTCTACAACGGCACGCTTCTCTCCTTGGAAGCCCTGGAGAGCCCTTCTGGTCTCAGCTTGCTGTCCCCATTTGTCATTCCCAGAGGCTGGGGGAGGAACTGGGTGTGAGCAGCAGATCCCATGGCAGCACACTGCCTGTGTGCAGCATGCCTCGGGGTCACTCCCACGAGGATAGCTGCAGTGCCCTGAGCAGCTGCAACCAGTTCATGTCAGCACAGATTTACTCATTGTGGGTGTGATTATCCAGCAGGACAGCAATCAAAAGCAAGATCCCTCCAGCTTTGGACCGTCATAGGGTCTGTTGAGCAATTCAGTGTGTTTATCTCATAATGATAGTGCAACCCTGAGGCTTGTCTCTTTTAGGGCCTCACCAGTGCGGTGCCTGGCTATTATATCAGAGTTGATGTTTGGACCCATGGGGTCATGCTCCCAGGAGGAGGGGAGGTGACAGTGCACGTTGTCCTTTGCGTTTGTCTCCCTCTGTGCTTGCATTTTTTACCAGAGAAGTGCCAGAGCTCTGGGGCATACAGGGGAATTCAGGCTAAACAGAACACACAGAGCAGCTCTGTGTTTATCTTCTGTTAAAATCCTACAGATCTAGGATGGCACTGGTGACGTCTGCTCTTGTCTGTGTCTGTACATGCGTTGCATCTTGTGAATCAATGAGCATTTTCCAGCATGGGTAGCATAGAGAAAAACATAATTATTTTTTTCTCTGCCTAATGATAAGCAAAGAAAAACACTCCATTTGCCCATCGGATGCTGATGTTCCCTGGCTCAGGCATAAGCGGTGGATCTGCTTGCAGCACTGAGAAAACAGCATCCATCCCCTGTGCAGGTTCTCATCCCCAGCCTCAGCGTCCAACCGGGGAGCACCAGCAGGAGGGGATGGTGTCCTGGGTGGCTGCGCAGCTGCACAGGTCACTTTTTGTTGATGGGATGTACAGATGCTGGCATTACCTATGCAGTGGTGAATTCACATTGCACAGCAGTCCACGCAGTTGTGGTGATTCATGGGGAGCAGGAAAACCTACTCTTATCTTCAGGGAAAAAACTGCAGAGCTTCGGGTTTCAAAGCCCTCACTTCAGTGGAATTACAGGTTCAAATCCTGAGAGGGTCAAACAAGGTCTTTCTTCCTCTGAGACGGATGGAGTGTCACGCAGTAAATTGCCTATGATTCTCTTTGTTAGATGCTGTGTTACTTTTAAAATGCATCATGACAAATCTTGGCTTTCTGCAAAATAAATAACCGCATCATTTATCAAAAAACGTTTGCTTTCAGAAATGTCGCCACTCTTTTAAGGCATTAGAGACTCCTGGGAATGAGAGAGACCAGAAGAGCACAAGATGCCACTTTTCTTTTCTTACTCCATTGTATTTGACATTTCACTTTTTTCTGCTTATTTGAAAAAGCCCCGGTGAGGAGTGATCCCAGGCTGTGGCATGTTCCAGCAGACGTGGTGGAATGTGACAGCAAGGAACACACGCTGCCTGAGCCTCCCTGGGGAGATGGGAGCAACAATCATGCTCGCTTGGTGTCCTTGCTGCCTGCAGTCACCCTGCACAGGAGGAGCCCGGTGGTCACTCTTGTCCCCGCAGCAGCAGACGTCGCCCATCAATGCTGCTGCCAGGTCTCTGGTAATGGAAGGTTCAGCTCCCTGGGACTGGCGGAGTCACGGCATCGGGACTGGTAAGTGGGGAATAACCAGCATGTTTCTGCCCCCTTAGCTGATAGGAAACATCCAAAGCAGTACTGCCAGCTGGAGGTCCTGTGCTCATTTCATACAAACCCTTGCTGCAGAGCAGCATGCTTGGCTTTGCAGTAGGTATGTTGCACACAACACAGGTATGCGATTCCAACAAGGAGGCTGTCAGATGTGAAAGCTATTGCAGCCAAATTCCTTCTTAAAGAGTTCCTCAGGAATAGCTGTCTGCAAAAAGTCTGGCAAGGCAGGGGAACAGCTTTGAAACTTGGTATTTTTCTTCTTCTAAAGATACCTCTGATGTTCAGCTATTTCCCCGCACTTATTCTTTGCCTAGGGTAGAATATAACTTACCAGATGAAATGTTAAAAACAAATAAGCAGCAAGTGTATTCAGCAAAATCAACTGTAGTTTATTTTATAGGATGTGTAACAGTATCTTATTTTGTGCTTGACATTGCAAAAGCTCCTAATGTCCAGCTAGCACCTTAGAAACGTTTTTGAAGAGACAGACGAGGCAAGAGGCATTGCAAGCTGCTGCTGTGTCTTCTGCTGGATGCCCTCAGTGCTTTTTGAACAGGCAGGGATTGGCATCCCCTGTTTACACACGGGAAAACAGAAATAAAAGAGTTTATGGCTCCTATTTCCAAAAGCAGTCACTAGCTTTGTGTCTGTCTTTTTGGTGCCAAACTGTGAGAGTTTTTAAAGTTCTGGCATGTGTGCAGAACAAAGACCAACTGTTCGCTGGTTTAACTGGTTTGACTTGTACACTGCTCTGCTGAAAAGGTGCCTTAGTGTGAAGTTTGCGTAGCACAGTGGAGAAGCAGATGTTCCCTTCATCCCTGTTGCCCATCAGGGCTGGATTTTAGCAGTGCCCCAGTCGAAGCCAACAGTGTTTGCACTGTCCAGCACTGCTGAGAGCTGGGCCAGGTGTTAGATCAAATGTCTGGAGCTGAGAGTGTAACATTTTTTCAGATGTGCCTCTCAGTGATTTTTTTCCAGACAGATGCGGGAAGTCTGTGGTAGAGCTGGGAACAGAGCCTGTTCCTGTGCTGCAGGAGGCTGTGTGTCTGACAAGACACAGGCACAGCCCTGCAAAGTAAATGTTGTGATTTCATGGTGGGAGCTGCACGGCACCTGGCAGTTGCACCAGGGGATTTTTCCCGGTTCCCGGGTTCACAGGGGTTTGCGCTGTGGCTACAATCTCCAAACCTCTGAAATTCAGCAGGGAGAAGGGCTGGTGCTTCATTTTGGGCCTACTGTGACAGTGCATCTTTCAAGAGAGTCTTTATATGTTAGTGTGTGCTGTGGGCTGGGTGGGCAGCTCCCTGCTGCTCTGTCTTTTCCTTACTTGGATGTGTGCACTTGCACAGCACAGATTTTTCTGTCCTGCAGCTCTCATGAGTTCACATTCAAAGATTACTTTCTCAAGACATTCTATTTGTTAAAATGTGCTGTTTCCATAGGTTGCACCTGTTCTCAAGGATACCACCCAAGGATAAACTCTTAGAGGGCACAAAGCCAGCATCACAAGTGCAGTTTCCATGGGAAATGCAGGCAGGTATATCTTTACCTGCAGCTCAGAGTATCTGTTCCATTCCCCTGTTCTGCAGTGTGCCATGGAACATCCAGTTCCTGCAGCAGAGAAGGGCCGTGGTCTCCAGAGCAGTGAGGCTGCAGCTCAGCTCCCTACAAAGAGAATTTAAAACCACATCTCAAACCCCCCTCTGCCAGAACAGGCCAGAAGTTGCAGATTTTCTTGATAAACAGTCAGGCTTCATTTTCTCTTCATTTCTCTTTTTAAAAATGCTTATATTGTGCTACCATTAGGTAAAGAGTGGAATTCTGGGCTTAAAAGCAGGTCTGATACTCTTTATTTAGTGGAAGACTTGAGCTTTTTTGTCGAAAATACATCCATGGAAAGAGTCCACTGAAGAACGTTCTGGTTAAAAGTATTTCGGCCATCTGCCATAGGAAGGAGTTGAAAACCTCTCAGACCTTTCCTGCTGTGAACACGCAGGATTTTCTCTAGCAAAAGGCTGAATCTTTCACCTGTGGATGAAGGCTCCACTTTTTGATCGATGTCACTGTCACTGAAACACGTAAATGCAAAGGAGTTTGGGTGAAACTCTAACCGATGTGCGGCAGAGAGCAATCGTGGGCTGGCAACAGGATGGAATCAGTGACCTAATCAACCATTTCCCCCTCTAATTGCAGTGATTCTATGGTTTAAAGAATTACACAATGTGTATTTTAGTTGGAACAAGACACTATTATTGAGTAAAGTGCATAATAATTGTGTTTCAGGAGGTGAAATAAATGTCGATCACCAGGCACTTTAATCCATCATTGTACTTTGCTAAATTACTTAAATTGCACTACATTCAATACTAAAATTACTTGTAATAAAGTGATTGCCGAACTGACACTCACAAAAAGATGTCTAGCACCTACATTTGTTTTCCTAATTGACAATTTTAGGCTTCAGTCTAGGGAGGGAGGAGAGCCCACAGCCTTCCCTAGAGTTGGTAGGAATGGAGGGCACGTAGCCCCGTGCAGAAGCAGTCTTTTAGCAGTGAAGAATGCTGCCTGCATGAAGCGCTTCCAACTTCCGTTAGCTTTCAAGCCTTTGCTTTGGTCACTGGGTAGGTCCGTTTTGCCTGCATTTCCAGAAACATTAGTTTTTGGCACAAGACTTCCCTGTAGTGATACTCCACTTGTTTATATTGCTCTGCACCTTCTTCCCAAGCCATTCACTAATTAATATCCAATTTGCAGACTGGGATGGGAGATTTGGTTGAGGATCTATAACATGATCCTTAACCAAATGGTCCAAACTTGCTCCTGAGTGGGGAGGAAGATGCATTCCTCCTGCTCAATCTCCAGTGGCACTTTGGAGGCAACTGTGACTTTTGTTTGTTCTTCTTCCTACAGTCCTTCCGCTCTGCAGGACTTTAGTTGATAAAAGGTAAACATAAAGGGAACTCTTGGTTTCAGTTCCTAATATGACATTTAGATTCCGCCTACCTAGAACTGTTTTTTTAATTCATGTAGTACTCCAAAGATGTTAACAAGCTGTATAATTAACTGATGCTGAGCTAAAGTAGGTTTTTGTTTTTCTAAAACTTCAGCTAATGTCTGTGGTTACGTGCTTGGGAGAAGACACAGGTTGTTTTTTTCCACAGGCAAAGCAATGCCCTTCTGCAAAGGTATGTAACTCCTTTCTCATGAGATTGAATGAGAAGCTGAGGATATACCTGTTCTGTACAAGGAAAAACGTTTTGTGGTAATTTGGAAATGAAAATTCAGTTAGAGCTTACAATAATTTTATTGCTGACCCTTATCTTTGGAAAACTGTTTTCCTTTTGAAGACCAAAGTCTTTTTTTCTTTCTCAGGGCTTTTCTCAGCCTCGCTTCAAGAAATGTAATTGAAACACGCAAGAACTTCTTTTTGGAGGAGAAACATGCACTACATCCAAAAACACTGGATTTCAGCCCTCTCTTGATGTTTCCATGGCCTCAGTTAGTGGGATGAAGCCTTTCTTCATGGCAGGTGACTTAATTTGTAGGGTTGCTGATTGTCTTAACGAGGTAACACACGCTCATCCTGATATTTTTTTCTGCCTTTCCTTTACGTGAAAGGAGATGTGAATGTTTCCTTCATCAGCAGTCACTATATAACATATTCACATACTGTGCAGTCTATTAAAAAGTTTCAGTAAGTTAAGCAAATATGAGGAATTCTGATGGGAAGGAATTAAAACTGTCCAATTTTTTCTTCCAAAATAAATATGAAAGTTAATCTGAAAAAGTGAAGAGTGCCAAATATTCATCCTATGTGCTAAAGTGACTCATGGTGAAGGCAGACAGTTTTATAGTGCAATTTCTTGTGCTGGAAATGGATAGCTTCCAAATGATACTTATGAAACAATTAGCTGTTCATGGATAATCAGATTTGTATGGAAATGTAAAGATAAGTGATTTAGCTATGATCTCAGTTGCAGAGTGACTGAGGGTGGTGGGCCATATTCCACAGCAAAAATCTTTTGCTGAAACCTCCTGGATTCAAGCACCTAACAGCTCCCTTGACTTTCTTTTCTAGAATGACACAAGACAGATTTGCATCTTTAAAGATCCTTCCTGATTTTGCATATAAACAAAACCTGACTTAAACGGTTCAGCTGGTGATTGTGAGGGTTTATCAGGTCTCCATTCACCACCAACCTCAGAGGGAACTCTGCTGTGGGCTGCTAGAACACAGGTAACTTCTTGTACCTATTTGTCTGAAGCTTAGGAAGGGGGCAGAGGCTGGGTGACCAAATGACCAAAAAATGTCATGAAGTCTTTTTGTATTTTAAAGCTGAAGTACTTTTCAGTCTTACCTTTTTTTCTTGAAGTTATCCTGCATGTGATGGAAGTGATGAGCTTTTTTACTTTCCACATGTCGCACGGATCAGGGAAGTGATGCTGTTTCAAAGGGACGACCTGCAGCACATAGGACCCAGCCAGCCTGACTCCATCCTGCCCAGGACAGCCAGGTTTTGACTGCCAGTGTTCTGAAGCTCTGTGGATTTGCCAACTCATACACACAGCTCTGAAAATGCATGCACGTCTCCTATGGCCTATGCAGCACCAGACTGGTTGCATGGAGGGTGATAATATTGACAGTGCAGAAAAGGTCTGTCCTGCATCTTAAGACACTGCCTGTGATACTTCAGCAGAGCTCTTCTCCCACCTCCACGACCTGTTTGTCTCCAAATTGCCAAGGGAGAGAAAGGCAGCAGGCAGCCAGATGAGTCTGGCTGGTCTCCAGTGCCTGTCAGTATCATCCATGGATAGTCTTCCATGGAGATGTTTGTCCCTGTATTCTGTTCACTGGGCTTCTCTGTCTGGTTGACCATGTTTCTTCTTGAAGTGGGCCCTTTCTGCCCTGCCTTTGCCAATGTGCTTTGTTGAGTAAGTGGAAGACATTGTAATGAGGGCTTACTGACCCCAGCCTCGAGATATATGGGAAGGAAAAGGTTTTTTTGTGATATTTTCAGCTTAACTTTCCAATTCCAAAGGCCTGGAAAAGACTGGTTGGCAGCCAAGCCTTGAGTGTATATTAATCTGCCTGTGTCCTCCCTGTAGGTTTGCCTTTCCATGGAACAAACCACAAGGGCACTGTTAATGATGCTGCAGAGATAAGAGAAGTTCTCAACCCAGAGGGAGATCCCAGGAGCCTTGAAACAGTTTGGACCCTTGTCTAAAGCATGAGGAAAGCCTGTTTCTCTAAAGCAGATATGGCTGTGTCCTGAAATCCAAGGACCAGAAAAATGCTTGCATTCTATTTAATCTCTAAGATATCACAGATTCAGAAAAATACTTAGAGGTCTTCCAAGAAAGCATTTGTAGATTTGAGTGTGCAAGCCTGTGAAAGTGTTCAGTTGTCTAGCAATGGTAGCATATGCAGGTAAAGGATCTTTATCTGCTTTAATAGTTGTTACTCCTCCACTGAAGCTGGAAGAAAAGGGAATGAGTGCCATGATCCTCTCAGCTATGCAATAAGTACCTGATGACACAAAGGCTCTGGGGTGACATCCTGCACCCTGCAGCAGGTGTTAAGTGCAGAACTACTGATGGTAAAATGCTTTGGATGCTGCTTATTGTGGAGGCAGAACCCAACCCAAAATCATGTAACTGGCCTGCTGAGACAGTTTTGTCTCAAAGAGAAGCATCCAGGTCTGGATGACACAGTTGCCTCGCAGGATGATTTCATCCTTCCACCTTTTCTCATCTCTTTGCTTTTGCTGTTGGATAAGCTTGAGAGGTTGTAAGCTGGGTACAAGGAACTCATTTATGTGTCCAGGCTTGGCTTCTGCCTTGTGCTTCTGTCAGTATCTTCTCCATGCCTGAATGCTGGTATCAGAATCACTACTGCTAATACAACAAATGAGGGAGTTAATTGTGGATTTGATGCCATCATCTTTCAGAGTAGACTTCATCTGTGTTTGTGGCTTGGCATCACCCTTGTCTTGCACCCCTTGTTCTCTGAGGGGCTCCTTGGATCTCTGCTTCTCTGCTGGTTTTGGGTGCTGGCTCTTTAGCCAACACTTATGAAGACGTGCTTGTTGTTGCAGGTGCTGTGGTTTGTCAATGGTTTACAGGCTGGTTCAGCCCGGTTCTGTGACTAGCAGGGTGGAGGGATCCACAGATCTGCGCCTCCAGAAAAGGGAAACAGGGGACCCCAAAATAATTGAAAACAGCGGCAACGATCTGAGGGGAAACAAACTAATTTACTAAATATAATATCAGCAAAATATAATGAGAGAGAGAGAGCGTGTCTGAAAGGTGAATAGGCTTCACCACAACACCGAGGTGAGAAGTGCAGTCCAGTTGAGCCAGTGAAGAAGAGCAGATGGAGAAGGACAGATGGAGAAGCGCAGGCGAAGAAGAGAGCATCAGGTGACCTTGCTGGGAGTTGTATCTCCTCACTGACCACAAAGCCCCCTGGGGAAATGTAGTTGTTGTTCTCCTCCGGACAGGCACCCGGAACTTGAGCGTCAGCAGTCAAACCCCCAGTGGATCACATGATGTTATGATGTGGAATACTGATAACCAAAAATCATAAAACCATGACATGGTTGCAGTGGGAAAGTGTCTGTGCTGTTGACTACAGAATGTCTGGAATGTGGGTCAGCAGAGGCTGGATGGGTCTGACACTGGCATTGGCCTTCTTCAGTTTGTGGCCCTTTGCAGCACCCTTCAGCTCACTGGTGGCTTCTGCCATCTCCTGAAAGCCAAGGAGCTTAGGAAGGAATGTTGAGCTGCCTGTGAGGCTATGCACACAGCCTCATAGCTATCCTGCAGGCAGGAGCAGAGGTGAGGCACACACAGAAACTGATCTAAGAGAGTTGAGTGAAGTTTATGGCTTATGTCCTCCTGGGACCCTTTGGGTCCTCCTGGATCCTGTCAATTGGGCTTGACTTGGGGCTGGCACAGCTGGGAACTGGTGGGATCTGCCTGTGCACCTCCTTCAGCTCAGCTCAGCCTCTAATCAGAGAACTAAGGGGCAGCCTTTCACTCTCCATCAGTGCTCTGAGTGAGTCTCCCATGTACAGGTAAATAACTCTCTGCAAAGTGATGGCCAGGAGCCATCTTCAGGGTATTTACCAGTGTCTTGGTATCCATTTCAGCAAAGCCAAACTCCTATGGCCTTTGATAGTCCAAGTCCAAGATCTTGGTTTGGATGCTGGAATTCTTCGGAGAGAAGACCAGTAACATGGCTGTCTTTGCAGTCCGTGCTGATGAACATAATTCTGCTATAGTTGTAAGGGCTTCTTGAGCCCTCTTGCTGCATAGCACATCTCCCACCATTTCCACAATGTTGCTGATGACGATTTGTGCAGTTGTTTGGGAGAAGTCCCGTCTTTGAGCTAAGAGGGTGACGGTGTCAAGCTTCATCTTCACTGCCTGGGCAAGAAGCATAAAATCATAAAGTTTATAAAAGACCACGAAGGTCTCCTGATCAAGGCACAGCCAACCCACAGCTTGGCCCAGCCACTCCTGCAGCCAACCCAATGCCATCATGGCAGCAGCTCTGCCCTGCCAAGTGGCCCAGTGCCGGTCACACACCCATCACTCACAACAACCACACATCAGTGTGCAGTGGGCACTGTCTGTGTTGAAACCAGGGCATGGGGAGGGCACAGTGTAATGCCCACTCAAGTGATGGCAAGTAGTTGTATGCACTTGGATACTTTGGCAAAACACAGTTCTGGGAACGGTGAAAAATATGCACCTTGCTTTCTGTTTTGATAGAGGAATGTGAGAACGGGCTTTCAAGATTGCCAAAAAGATCATCAATTTTTTGGTATATTTTCTATTCCATTTTCAGTCAACATAAATGCATTTATCTGCAAATTTTCAAATTGAATGTGTAGAATTGCAATCAGATATTCAACTCAGAAATGTGACTGTATCACTTTACCAAACTTTCATAACACCTCTCTCACCACAGAAAGGTATCCCTTGCTTCACAGTCATCCCTCATTCATGTCACTGCTTTTTGGCAGTACGTGCATTTGTGAGCAACTGTTGTCAAAGATGAAGCACAGAGTAAAATTTCATCAGGAATTTCTGATGTAAACCTTGAGAACCCACTAAGAGCTGCAGCCACTGCAGCTAAACTGGACTGATGCATCAGTTTCACAGAAACAAGGTCAAACATCCCAATAGTTCTATGTTTTTGTTGCATGTTGTGTATGTTTTAATAAAAACATTAAAAAATAAAATAAGTTTTGTTACTTATATACATTAAACATGTTATGTATTTTATAAAGGCTGTTCCAAACTGCCTGCTATTTTATTATATTGACCCAAAACATCCGAGGTGGAAGTTGGTGGTATGGCAGTAGGGGCTGAACCTTCCCACCAGTATCCTGGTACGTGTTCTTGCCATGTGACAGATGGCAGCAGAGGGGCAGTCTGACAGAACAGTGTCTGACATGGAAGTGCATATGGAGCAAAGGTGTATCACTGAATTCCTCCATGTGCTGTCTGAGCACAGGAGAACTGCTTTTTGCAGGCTAAGTAGATCCTCAACACCGCAGTGCATGGCCAGGGATGGGGAGAACTGTGCTTTGCTGAGGCCCTAGAAACCTGCTCCCTTTGGGATACACAGCAGCAAAGGAATGGGGTGGGACCTGGACGCTTTCCAAGGGTGCCCTCTTCACATCGTGTCCGCTTTTTGGGTTGGGAACCCCACTGCATCACCTGGGCTGCCCATACCTCTTCCCAAAGTCCTCCCCAGGGCTGCCACGGTTTTTCCCCTCCCAGAAGCATGCTCGTGCTGCACAGTGCCCAGCTGCTCTGCTTGAGGTGGTAAATGGAAGAGGAAGCTGTTTGGCTTTCAGAGCTTTGTTTACTTATAGGAGGCCTAACAAACATGGATGTTAAGGCCCCCCTAGGGGGTCTTTCTTATGATGCTGGGGCCTGTTGGATTAGGCAAATGAGAGCCAGAGATTTGCCTAATAGCTTGACAGGCCATGAGGGATTAGACTTGTGGGCTGGTGTAAACGTGTGGTGCAGAGGTGCTGTGGTGTGGATCTCTCCTTAGCCATGGCTAAATGCCTTGTCAATGTGGGTTAATCTTGTTTGCCTTGTCTTCCATAATGCTGCCTTACAGGACACAGCCTCTGTCCATTTAATCACTGCGAAATGGAGCAGTAGGCTTTTGTTCTGTGTGTTCAACTCCTGCATTACACAGCGCTTTCAGCGTTACAGGCATCAGTAATTAACAGCAATTTTTAACTGGCGTTGGCTCCAGCTCCTGAACTAGCTGCTCCTTCAGGACCAAAAGTTCCATTCTGTTGGCTGAAGGCAGCTCCTTCTGTGGAGGTCCCACCACTATCCCTGCACTGTGGATCTGCTGCTCCACACTCCTTTACCAAACATTTGCATGAACTGTGTCCATGTTCCCAGGTAACCCAACAGCTCCTTCCCCTGAGCAGGAATCCCGCTGTGTCACATTGCTGTGCTCAGGAGCTCCGTGATGCCTGAGGGATGCACCCAGAGCACCCAACCCTCACTGGAGCACATAACAAACTGGTGCCTATCCTCAAAAGCAGTGGGCAGTTAGCTGCTGAAGTGCCAGGGCTGCAAAAGGGTTGTAAAGGTAGCACATGCCTCTGTTCCTTGGTCCCCTTTGGTCCCCGGTTCTTTTTGCTTGGTCTGATGGAGTACAGTGCTGTCAGTACTCAGGGTTCACAGAGCACTAAGGCTTTTGCAGGACCTCCTATGAATGGAAGACTTCTGCTCACAGCCAACTCGGAGAAGAGCAGGCACCTCTGCTGTGCTAGGTTTGCCCCTCTCTGCACCAGAGCACAAGCCATGATTGTGTCATTAAGGTGCAGGATCCATCCCAACTAGCCCTAGATTTTTAGATTTTTGTTTTCACATTCCCCTGCTCCACATCTTCTGCCCTGACTTCCTTATACCTACACCAAAAGCCTGGCAAAACTGGGTCCAGCACAGGAGCTGGGCTCCAAATGCTCATATCCACTGGGATGTACAGCCACAAGTCTTCCTTGCCAAATGCTTTTTGGAGCTGTGAGAGCCAGGGAAGCTCACCGCAGGTGTTCCCCAGCACAGAGGCAGCCTACTCCAAGGTGATTAGAATCTGCAAGGCACTGGCAGGAACAGTGCAGGTGGGAGGAAAAGAAAAGCTCTCACCAGTCCCATTTTCCCCCACAGTGGGCAGGCTCTTGCTCAGTTGTGCAAATTGCCCATGCACTCTGGGGCCCTCAACCCTGGAGCTCAAACTGCTCCCCAAAAAGTCCAGCAACTACTAACCCTGCTCTGCCCTTCACTGGGTGGGTGGCAGAGCCACAAGGAGTAGGCAGAGGAACAGCACCTGTCAGCAGTGCCAGGTGGCAGCTTCCCATCTGCTGCCTGTGCTCATGTGCTAACCGCAAGCATCTGGGCTTAAGACCAGCTGAGACAGTGGGGGTGAAAAAGGGCTCCGGATTTGGCCCTGATACCTTCGGTCAGCCAGTAGAGAAAAGCTGCAGGTAAGATAACATCCAGTCTTCCTGCATGAACAAAAAGGGCCTGCAGAGCTGTGGGGGTAACACTGAGGCTTGCCAGCTAGCTGCTTGCAGCATGACCTTCTGCCCCATTTAGGGGTGAGCTGGGGCAGGTAAAGCCCTGGGCTTTCTTGGTTGTTCCTCCATGTGAAGCACCATCTGTCTCCCATCCAATTATCTGTGCCTTCCTTTCCTTACAGGTAGCGGGAAGTTTAAAAGCATCATGTGAGTACAAAGGAGAGCTTGCATTTTGGCCTGGGAGCTCCAGGAGCAGCCCCTGCTTTGCAAGGTAGGCCCAAGAGATTTTGGGGTTAGGGGATGGGTGTCCAGCTTTGTGGCTTGCCTGGGCAATTGACACTGATGGATGTCAATGGGTGCAATTGTTTTTGTGGAATTGAATGCTGTGGGAGGGGTGCCTGGATATCATCTGTGACTTTAGCATATCCTTCCTCAAGAGTTTGAGTTTATCAATTACTCTGTCCTGGAGTAGCCTTACTGTCTAGCAGAGAGCTGCTGAGGTAAAACTCCAAATTCCCAGTACATTGGGAAGAGAATCTATCACTTGTCCTTCATGGAATTCTGTGGGCTCTTACCTCTTGCTGTGCC